GAACAAGTCACCTCTTAAGAAAATACAAATAAACTATATTAAATGTGATGGAACATATTTCCAGCAACAAAAAAGGTCAAGCGTATCTTCTTTACCAGAAAATATTAGAGCAGATTTTATGATGTCAGAATCAATGGAGATAGCACTGATACACACACACATACACATACACACACTGTTCTGACAATTTCAGTCAGGAAGTAGAATATTAGGAATGTGAAAAATTATCAGTTGTATGCTTGAGGTTTTGCCCATTTACTCAATGTCCTACTGATATTAAATTAAACAGAGTGAGACCTCACTTTTCAATATCCTTTAGTGACCATACATTATGTGTGTGTGTGTGTGTGTGTGTGTGTGTGTGTGTGTATACATATATATATAAAACGATCAATACTGCTATCTAAATGGTCCAACTTTCCTGTTCAGAAGTACAGGGGCAAGGAGATTCAGAAAGTTGTCTTACACATCCTAACAAAGATTTCCCAATCAAGTATAACATTTTAGTTTTCTTCCAATCTTACAAGCAAAGAGAAGCATGGCTAGGAAATGTAACCAGAATTGACATGTAAAGATCTGAAATCATACTATAAATCTTAGAAAAAATGACCTACAGTGGCATCCATTTAACAACAGGAAATACAACTCCCAATTTTATATCTGAAGAATGCTCTCAGCAAACATTATTTGCTACTTTGTGAGTTATTCGTTTATTTATTTCAGTTTTAGGCCACTCAACCATGTATGATTCTGGGGGCTAGCTGTACAATAATATAAATACAGTAAATAAATAAGAACAATACCAAATTCAGACAGAAAAAGTAAGAAGAGGAAATGGCAGACTATACACACACACACACACACACACACACACACATGGGGAGGGAAGAGGGAGAGAGAGGGAGAGTGGGTGGGTGGGAATTTGACCTTGGAACAAGCATTTTAGCCCTGGCCTGGAGAACAGGTATTACAGATAACAATATCATTATATACTTTTTTTTTTTTTTTAAAGGGCAACATTTTAAATATATTTTGCTCACAGGTGAAAATAACTACTTTGGTGTTCATGCTCAGAGTTTTTTTTTTCCTTAAAAAAAAACATGCACCTTTATTTTGCCACTGGGCTCCCAGATTCGGTTGTATTCAAGAGTAGGTTTAAGAATGCGAATGCTCAAGGAGCAAGGGTGAAAAAAGAATGGGCAGTCATTTGAATCAGTGAGTGACAGCTTGGACCAGCTCTCCGTATACATTAATAAATTAGAATTTTAATTGTGTCTCTGACTGCAGAAGCAGCTTCACTACTTTAATATGTACCAACAATTGGCTATGTTATGGAATCTGTGACGTGGCCCTTGCTGTTGACCTCCGAAACACAATTCCCACTCTGACTGCGGAAACTGTTTGGTTTGATCCTTTCAACTTATTTGAATCCTGACAAATAAGCTCATAGCTGAAAGGTCAACACAGTCATATTTCATCCTCTGGAGCAATTCTGAAGACATCTGCACAACAAAGCACTTCTAGTACCTGACACTGGGCCTTGCCAGCGCCCTATCTCATTAAAATGTCTCCAGTAGAAGAGTCTATTAAAAGGCAAATGGCTAAGATATGGATTGGCTAAATAACGTTTTTCTCTCTGAGATTTTAGCAAAAGAGCATGGATTCAGCATTCAACGTCCGTAATAATGGTTTTCAACTTGCATTTGCCAAGAAGCAAAACAGTTATTCCTTTCCAAATACAATAAACCAAAGGATGGAGTAACACAGGGTCAAGCTTGATCAGACCCATGGATTTTAAGCAATCCTGTAAATATTAGCTACTTCCTGGTTGTTAGCCAACAACCTACTCTTCCACTTTCATCAGCCACACAAATCAGTGTACAAAATGTTACGTGCTGAGCCAAAAGTATTTGATGTCATTTTGGTAGTAAACTTTGACTATGATCCAAAAATATGTGAACAGAGGAGACTTCAAAGAAGAAAAGTTTCTGAATAATGTCATATTGAGCACATGTTCTATCTTTTTTCTCATAAGCCTGGGTACCTAATCTCACATGTTTTGAAAGGATTCTAGAGTCAACTGCACAGAGATTATTAGAATCGTTGTCACTGGATACATCTAATATTTAGAAAGAAAAGCAGCACATTTCATATAAAGAACCTGTTAGTAATACCAAAATAAACTCAATTGACTAAGCCAATTTCAACTAACATCACTCATCTTTCCTCGAAAATGTAAACGGAAACAGCAAATCGCCTACAGCTATCTTTCTGAACCAACATAACATTGTATTGGCCCATGATTTGATCTATAACAATATGGAATTAAACAATTTAAATGGTTTCCCTACAAAGACTGCTCAACAGATACTGAGTATTCAACTGAAAATATATAATTTTCACAACATAATAAATATTGAGAAGTTTCCAAACAGAAACATCATCTCACTAGAAAATTGCCTCGTGTGTTTATAATAGCATTTCACAATGCTATTTCAAAACAACAGTAGTTTCTGGATTATGGTTTGCCATATGCCCTTATTTCAAACACTCTATTTTTTCCAAACCTTTTATTTTAGAAAACAATTAATACACCCTTTTCAGAATATCACTTATCAACGGTGTATGATGATGGTCTTTCTTTCAGAAATGATCTCCTTTTGATGATCTCCTCCATAGGAAGCTATCTTATTCTGATTCAAACCATATAACCATTTATTGTTTTCTATACCAGGGATCTCCAACCTTAGCAACTTTAAGACTAGCGGACTTCAACTCCCAGAGTTCCTCAGCCAGCGAAGCTGGCTGAGGAACTCTGGGAGTTGAAGTCCACTAGTCTTAAAGTTGCCAAGGTTGGAGACCCCTGTTCTATACTATCTGACAGAGGCTCTTTAAGATTTCAAAGAGTGGTGATGTTCAGCTCTACATGGAAATGTAAAGAACAAAATCTTCTACTTGCCTGAATCTTTCTAAGCTTTTTTTCATGTTCTTCACAAGTTCTTTGATTTATTGATGAAAAATTCAAGAGTATGCAGCCCTGATTCATTTCCACTACCACAACCATGCTATCAAACATGTTTAAATCATGGACATCAACAAAAGCAAAGTTAACCATTTTTAAAAAAATCATCCTCCAACTATTTATATTATTTGCATCCTTTTAACATATTTTACTCAAGCAAGTCAAATGTGTGGATTTTTTTTTTTTAAAAAAAAACATTTCTTACCTGAAGGGCTGGTTTGTCATTCCTCTTGGGAGACTTTAGCCCACTAACTTGTTGTTGTTGATGCTGTTGTTGCTGCTGCTGCTGTTGCTGCTGTTGTAACAGAAGTTGTCTTGCTACCTGAAGAGCCTGAGGAAATATATAAAATAAATTAATTCTGTCTAACTTAATTTAATGAAATGCTTGTTTCCGGCTTGAGCAGGTGGTTGCACTAGAAGACTTTCAAAGTCCCTTCTAACTCTGTTATTCTGTTCATAACAAGTTAGGCTTGGCTAAAATAGGGTGGACTATTTTTTTTCCTGATAGATAATTTTGCATGAAGAAGCCATCAAGTGAAGCCTTCATAAGGCTTTAACCACTTCCATGAACCCTGCAACGATGTTTTATTAACATGGTTATTTGATGCTATGTGAATGCAGCCATTATGTATCTATATGGCTTCAAAGATAACCCAGCAAAGAAGTTTGGCCCAGAAGTTACTCTCTTTTTGGAGAATGACAGTAGTCTATGAAATAGGTGGTTCTTCATTTTTACTTTTTTATATTAACAATATACAAACAACAACACTAACAAGAAAAAACAGTAGTGGTGGTCAGAAAAGAACCTATATAAATTGTGGTGATTAAAATAAATTAAACACAGCCAAAATGAAAGAACAAAATGGACAAAAAACTAATGGAAGAAAAAATATATAATATCAAAAAATATATAACATCATTTAATAGCAACACATAATTAACCCACAGAAATTACTCAATAAAATTCCAACAGCAGTTTAGCAAAGCTAAAACACCTGAATTGTAATGATGATTTCAATCAACTCTCAATGCTATCATCCTATTGTTCAAAGAATTCAGTATTATCCCAATGCACTGAAAAAAAGACTGGAGTTTTTATAATACAGCATGTCAGTTGGCTTCTATATATAGTCATTTTAAAATCTGATGAGAAGAATCAGTTTATGTAGAAGACAGTTGTTGGTGAGACCATTTTATCATTGTTTCACGTTATAACGAGACATCAGTAGCCTCCTTTTAAAGCCATCTCAAATAATATAAATGCAATATCTCACAGAGAAATAGACATTTAAAATAACAGTATCACTATTCCTTGGCAAACTCTGGAAAAGTTCTGTTCGGCCATGTTCATACATTCCATTTCTTCCTGATCCCCAGGAAGATCTCAGATATTTTCTCACATTTACCCTTCTTGCTTTGCTGCTACTTTGTCTGTGTTAAAGAGAAATAAATAAATGAACTGGGAAGTCCTGCATTTCTATGGATTTCCTTTAACATAAAAAATCAAACTTTAATTCTTAGAGTTAGACAATAATTGCATAACTACGCTATTGGCTTTTGCCCATGTTGTTAATGAGGTTATTGACCTTGTTATTTCAAATAACCTCATATTCATTTACATATTTAAGTAAAGTCTGTTAAACAATGACTGGCTGTTCAGTATGGCTTTGTCAGTATTCGATCCAGCCTTTGCCTGTTATGAAAACATCAGCTAACAACACAAACACTATCTTTACAATTCAAACAAGAACTGGAATGCTATATATTCAAGATCCCTGCTTAGTTTCAAGGGGGAAAATGCACCCCCATGTAATAAATCAGCAATATCCGGATCTAAGAAACAGTGGCAAGGGAAACTATAAAAGGAATTGGGATGTCAGTGCCACAGCTGAAGAGACATTTGGAATTTTTGAGTATGTTGCAGGTGATAAAACCTGGAGACTGGGGAAAAGAACAAAGAGATTCATGAAGTGGATTCCTACGCAGCTCACTCCAAGGAAGCTAAAGGACTCACCAACATTTCAGATATGAAGGAGAAAGCCTGCTTGTAGGAGCCAGAAGGAAATTAATGCCTGTAAGAGGACAGCTGGAAGTTTACATGCCTCAAGGACATGTCCCCTGCTTGCTGTCTCATTGGAGGATTCACCATTGCAGGACTCAAGGGTTTCCTGGTCTCCTTGGAGATGTTCAGTACATGCGTAGGTGTTAACAGTGGGAAGAGTAAAGACTTCATCAATGTAAAAGGAGAAAGAAATAGTCCTATGCAAGATGCCTACATGGAAAAAGGAAGGGAAGCATCCTTCGGCATATATTCACCGAGATGCTAAAGCTGAAGCTGATTACATGGTATTCTTGAATTTATTTAGTTTCATAGGTTGGAAAATATGATCAACTATTAATTAAAAAGGAACAGTGACCAGTAACTATAATAAGCAAAGGAAGCCTCATATTTCTTAGCAAACTGTCCAGACTGTTCTGTTTCTATTTCTACTTTGACACACTACTCTAAAAGACACTATAAATATCTGAACAAAGACAAATTTCAGTATGAAAAAGAGTATCTACCTGGCATAAAAGAAGCACTGTCATGAGCAATTTAAGTCTGATACACGGATACTAGAATAACAGATTCAATGAAATGTAAACTCTAATAACATACTTATAACATTCCTTGACTGCTGCGTTTATATTTTATTTTGGCTCATTATCAAACAAAGATCCTGAAAAGTACAATGTCATTTTCCCAACCTCCTACCTTCAAGACACACTGGACTACAATTCCCAAGATGCCAGCCTAGATGGCCCCCACAGGTCATACCTGTGGGGGCAATGATGAGAGCCGTAAAGAAACAAGCACTGTACATTGTATAACCTAGTGGAGCATATTCAGATGGTGGAGCCAAAATGGGGTGGGGGTGGGGGGAGAGAAACAGATGCTCAGAATTAAAAGTAAAGGAATGGGTGGCAATTTATGTTAAGTTTTTAAAATCTGAGTTGATGTGGTTTATTCGTTGCAGATCCCTTTTGGTACTTTGCATGGATTCCAAGATGCTACAGTCATATTCACAATCAGGACTTCTGGTATTTAGAGCCACTGAGTATATAATTAAATTAAACCACAGAGAGCTGACAACAACCTCACCAAAGCACAAGAAGAGAATATTATCCTTTCTTCATCTTAAACTTAATGTTTGTAGAAAAGACTGGGGGAGTGCTAACAGTAACCTTTATTACAAGGTCAACCCATGTCCTCTGTTCAATTGTTCAGTTTAACTCTCACCTTCTCCAGCTGCTTCAGAGAATCTCAGCTCACCCTTGACCCAAAATCCAACTGCTTGCCCTGTAATTCTAAAGGCTAATCAACAGTTATTACTTCTCTGGAGTTAGACAAGAAAGAGGAAGAGCCCTGAAAAGAAAGCAAGGGTTGGGCTTGTCTGCCCACCTTCCCATCCTCTAAGACTGTGTGTGACTCTAGAGGGTCTTTATGAAATTAGCTGTCAGATCTCCATTCAATCTTAATGGTCACCAACTTATTATGCTGACTTCCTTCCTCTAATGCAGCTTGTCAACTGTTGCTTAACAGCTTTTAAGTAAGATTTCCGTCTCTTTTAGCATATAAATTGTAGATGAGAAATGAGGGCATGTTTTTGGTCACTGCAAGCAGCTTATTTTTATAAACTAGGGTGATACAATCCACTCAAAAAGAATGCCTTCTTTTTCTTTTCAAAAAAATGATGGGCTTTAATAAATCTTCAAGGCTGTAAACATGGCCCATGGAATGGCATGGATTAACTCATTTTGAGTATGAGTAGGTAGATACATATGTAAAGAAGCAAGTCTGTTAGTTCTATTTTGACAACTATAATATATCTAAAATCCTCTTTTTGTACATAAAATTTCATCAAGTCAACCTTTTTGACATCTGTTTTCTTTTATCTACTCAATGTCACAAATAACTCTCTTCACAGCAGAGTCTTACAGCAGAATATGCATTTGTGCAGTAAACATGGTGCAAGGACCAATTAGCAAGTAGAAAAGGAGTATTTCTTTTCATTTAACAACTGGTGAAGACAAAAATAGTTCAGTGAAACTGGGTTCTGGAAGAGTCTGAAAAGGAAAATAATTGATGTTGATAACACAATGGTAGTGTGAAGAAAAAGAGAAGTTATTTTTTCTTTCTTTAATGATAGGTGAAGTCATCCAATAACTAACCGACAAACTAACTGTATTTCACTGGGTGAAAATGGTTTCTAGACTTTTTAAAAGAAGATTAGATAAGTCACATTAATCTTTACAGCTACATGAAGTACATTGTTTATAAAACTCCAGTTTTATAAACAGTATACCACTGAATATGAGTTGCTAGGAGACAAAAGTAGGACAAGGCAATCAGTTCCCCTCTTATTCTGTCCTACTGTTGTTGCCATTTTAAGGGCATCAATTTGCCAATAAAAGAAACTGGATGTTGTATTAGATTGATCTGATCCACAAATTATGTTACAGTGCAGTGGTGGGATTCAATTTTTTTTACTACCGGTTCTGGCTTGGTGGGCGTGGCAGGGAAAGGATACTGTCAAGTCTCCAGCCAGAGGTTGTATTTGCCAGTTCTCCGAACTACTCAAAACTTCCGCTACCGGTTCTCCAGAACTGGTCAGAACCTGCTGAATACCACCTCTGATACAGTGACATCATTTACACAGTGACAAAGCTGTCCCAATAAAAGAGTCATTCTCCGTCTCACAGTATGGGAGACCATAATAAAAGCCAAGAGATTTTACAAAGTTCCTCAGCCCAAATTAATTTTACTGAGGCTTTATACTAGTAAAGGTAGTCCTTGACTTATAACTGAAGTTACAACGGGCTGGGGGGAAAAAATGACTTATAACCACTGCAGTGTCCCTGTGGTTATATGATAAAAAATTTGTATTCTTTAAAAAAAACAACACCCGATATAACATTTGGTTATTAAACAAAACTTCCCATGTTCACAGTAATGTGTATGTATCTATAGAGACTGCTACTTCCCAGCACTTCCTGGAATGACTATGTTATTAGATGGTGCTGTATGGGTGACACTGTCAGTCCAGAAAATCATAGAAAAGAGACACACAGCTTCTCTGTGAAAAGCTTATACTGCTTTCAATAGGCAGGACATTTTTGTAATGAACAGCTGAAAAAGCTATGAATTCTGCCTACCTCATATATATTAAAAATAAATTGAATGTTTTCAGAAGGAAGAATGAATACTAGCTGGACTTTATTCCTGCTGTTCTTTCTCCCTTTATAGAGTACATGTTAAAGAAATCTGTTCCCAGCAGGGTCCATGGTAAT